CAGGTATTGTGATTTTTGTTCATTCTATTCCCTTTTCCAAGATGTGGTCTCAGGTTCATTCCCAGTTCAGCCATCACTTACATAATCATACAGAATAGCAAAATGGCTACTAACAACTAAAATGGCTGCACTTTGGTTCATGCTGAAAATGGCTGTACTTTGGTTCTAACACCTTGGACTCAGGTTCAGGGCTGATCAGTACATCACCACCTTGCTCTTGGTCTGAGCAGCCCCTGCAAGTTAATAAAGTTTCTTCAATTTGACAAACAAGCTTGTTCAAGACTTCCTGGAAAATTCTCACTCTGTTACAGAAATGACATTTAGTGAATGCTTATAATCCATACCTGTCTCTTCACAACAGCTTTGTTTAAGTTAATATCTGTCTTTGCCAAATAGGGAATTAAAGCTCAGAAATTGTATTTGTTTAGTCATATAGTTGGTAAGCAACACATTCTTTCTATGGCACCCAATATCTCTCTCAGGACTTAGGAAATAGGAGCCAGAGAGACAGCACAGTGGGTAAGAAGCTTGCCTTGCATGCAGCTGACCTATGTTTGATCCCGGTATCCCATATGGTTCCCTGAGTATTGTCAGTTGTAATTCCTTAGCAAAGAGCCAGGAGTAACCCCCGATCATCACTGGGTGTGGCCCAAAAAATACAGAAAGAAAGAAAGAAAGAAAGAAAGAAAGAAAGAAAGAAATTATTATTTTGGGGGATCACACCTGGCGATGCACAGGGGTTACTCCTGGCTCTGCATTCAGGAATTACTCCTGGCGATGCTCCAGGGACCATATGGGATGCTGGGAATCAAACCCGGGTTGGCCACCTGCAAGGCAAATGCCCTACCCACTGTGCTATTGCTCCAGCCCCAAGAAAGAAAGAAATTGGGAAATTGTGACTGGAGTGATAGTACAGGAGGTAGGGTGTTTTGCCTTGCATGTGGCCGACCGGGGTTCAATCCCTGGCATCCATATGGTCCCACGAGCACTGCCAGGATTAATTCTGAAGCACAGATCCAGGAATAACCCTGAGCACCACCGGGTGTGGCCCCAAAGTTAAAGAAAAACAAAAAATAAGTCTTGCATGTTTAGAAAGCAGAAAGAAGTCTTGCGTGCTGAAAGCCAGTGAACTAGGAAGGGAAAATGCAGGTGGGTATTGAAGGGGAGGAAGGCAAGGACTAGATTATGATTGGAGCACCACCCCAAGCAGAGGCAAGGCCTGCTGTTTCTGAGCAGAGAATCACAGGGGAGTGCTAGTTGGGAGCAGTGAAAAGCCTGAGAGGAAGGAATCTCCTTCTTGGAGAGAAGGAAAAGAGCTCTCCTTGCACTAAGAACATGAATGGATGAGGAATGTAGCTCAACTGTGAGGTCCTATGTTTGATTCCAGGCATGGCAAAACGAAAAGAAATGTGTAAGTATCTACCTAGAATCAAATATATTTCCTGTTCAAGTAAAGAATATCATGATAGGGGCTGGAGCGATAATAAAGTGACTAATGTGCCCTTGGCCAACCTGGGTTCGATCCCTGGCATCCCATATGGTTCCCTGAGCACTATCAAAGTAATTCCTGAGTGCAGAGCCAGGAGTAACCCCTGAGCATCGCTGCGTATAGCCCCAAAACCAAGAAAAAGAAAAAAAAGATTATGATAGGGACCAGAGAGATAGTACAAAGGGCAGGATGTTTGCCTTGCATGTAGCTGACCTGAGTTTGATCCCTGGGATCAAATATAGTCTCCCAAGCTCCAGCAGGGTTGTGGCCCCAAAACAAACAAACCAATAAAATACATTGTGATCTTGGGGACTGAAGCGATAGCACAGTGGATAGGGCATTTGCCTTGCATGCAGCTGACCCAGGTTCAATTCCCAGCACCCCATATGGTCCCCCAAGTACCGCCAGGAGTAATTCCTGAGTGCATGAGCCAGGAGTAAACCCTGTGCATCGCCAGATGTGACCCAAAAAGCAAAAATAAATAAATAAATATACATACATATATATTGTGATGAAGTGTGTATGAATATACATGAAATATTCGTATAATACATACAAAAATAGTGTTCTGAAATGCAAATAACAACATGGAAAGTGAATAACTTCTTAGAAGGGAGGACCAGTGGCTGCAGGCCTCACTGTGAGTAAATGTGAAGTGGAAGTTTGCCAGATTTACAAGTAGGTAGCAGATTGTGGGGTTGTAAATTCTTGTGAAGAGCACACCAGATTCCAAGAGTAACTTTCACCAAAGTATTTAGTGAAAACTATTGTGTACAGGACCTATTCTAAAAGGAGGTAGAAAATTAATCTGGAAAAGTCTTCATCTTACTAATTAGTCTGGACTACACTTTTCATCTGGGGAGGAAAGGGTCATGCTTAGGACTTCTGGCTTTGTGCTCGCTCGGAATCATTCCTGGCACACTCTGGGACCATACGGGTCACCAGGGATCAAACCCAGGTCAGCTGCATGAAAATCAAGAGTCTTACCCGCTGTACTATTGCTGCTGCCCCAGCCTCTTTGGAAAAAAAATTTTGATCACTTAGGAATCACTTCTGCATGCGTTTCTTTCAACTGCTTCACTACCTTGCCTGACTTTGTCTAACTTTCACTTAGAAAGAGGGCACACTTAGTCATATTACCCTACCACAACCTAACACTGAAGCTACAACAGCTGAGTGATTCATTATGCTCAGAAGCTAAATGATCAGATGAAGGGAACCTTCTGGTCTTAGACAGGCCTTCCAGGTAAGCTTCTAGGAAATAATTATGACCGGTTTTGTCAAGATTTGCAAGTATGTGCATGTGTACCTGTGTGTTTGAGGGGAAGGGGTTGCAGGTAGGAAGGAAGATGGTGATGGGGCGGAGGGGGCATTCCAACTAAAGGAAACTGAAATGTCTGGAATTAGAGAGATAATACAGTGGGCAGGGCCCAGGCTTAATCTCAGCAACCCATAGCATTCCCCGCCACCCCATCCCCCCACCCCCCAGGAGTGATTCCTGAGTCCAGAGCTGGAGTAAGCCCTGAGCACCGCTGGGTGTGGCCCCCAAACAAAAAAACCCAAAATAATAATAACATGAAAAAATTAAAAGGTAATAATGAGGGGCCGAAGCAATAGCACAGCGGGTAGGGCGTTTGCCTTGCACGTGGCCAATCCAGTTCGATTCCCAACATTCCTTATGGTTCCCTGAGCACCGCCAGGAGTAATTCCTGAGTGTATGAGCCAGGAGTAACCCCTGTGCATCGCTGGGTGTGACCCAAAAAGAAAAAAAAAAGAGAATGATGAGCGTGGTTCCCCCTAAAATAACAAAACTAACAAAGTGTGGTTCTCAAACACAGGCAGATATACATAGTGTATATATACATATACAGATATATATATAGTGATGGGGCCAAGCATATGCTCTGCGGGCGGGAGGCCCCCATCACTCATCCTGAGGAATGCCAAGAGCGACCCCAGCACTTAAGCAAGAGCAGACCATGAGCACCAATGTTGTGGCCGACAAGCAGATATAAATACAAGGAGTGATGTGGTCTTACTTTGGACAACCTGGCAGGCTACCTGCCCACACAGCAATGTAACCTGCCCACACAGCAGCGTCTGACAAACTCCCCGTGGTGTACCCAATATGCCAAATACCAGGAACAATGATGGGTCTCATTCTCCTAACCCTGAAAGAGCCTTGAATATGGCACTTTTTAAAATCTCAGGGCTAGGACAAGGGAGACGTTACTGGTGCCTGCTCGAGGCAATCAACGAACAACAGGATGATGTGATCGTGATGTGGTCGGATGTTACTTTATACAGTCCACTACGGGCCATTCTGGTAGGGAAGCATCTTCCCCCGACAAACTCCGGAAGTTCCAACCAACCCCACGGAAGACCGCTTAGAGGACAAGTCCCTGACCCCGGGGGTTAAGCCAGGAGCCCACGGCCGCAGTCTGCAGGGCGAGGGGCCGACGCGGACGTCCCGCGGCCGCCTGGAGCGAGCTTTCATTGGTTGCGAGGAAAACGCGGCCCATGCTTACGATCTCGCGAGAGTTCGGGGCGTAGGCCCGTCCTGCGCGCCGGTTAGCCGAGGCGTTCAAAAGGCTCTGCGGCGAGGCTGGCCAGTGTTTCGTTCTTTAGGTGGATGAGCCGCCCTCGTCCTTTCTGTCCCTGGCCAATCAGGTCAGCGCCTCTTTCTCCTGCCTGCCCATTGGCGCGCCCGTGGAAAGCGACGGGGCCGGGCGCGCCGCGCCTGCTGCTGCAGGGGGCGCCGGGAAACGCGGCCTGGCCCCGCAGCCGCGCCCCGCCCCCCGCCGACCTGTTTCTCGGCAGGCGGAGTTTCACGGCGCGCCGAGCCTCCGGGTGGCGCCTCGAGCGCCCGCCCCCGCCCGGCCACTTTCGACTCGTACCTGTCGCCATCACAAAGGGTCTCGCGCGCCGCCTCCCCACGCACTCCCCGTGGCGTGGGCTTCCAGTTCAGGGTAGAGCTCAGTGCTGTGAGCTGGGTAGCGTCTATGGGCAGTCAGAATCCACGCGTGGGACATGCGCCGACTGACCCGGGGGCCCGTTTTTTCGTTTGTTTTTATTTAGAGAAATTGACTTAAAAGAAGTCAAAGGGAAGAGAGCTAGAGGGACCACCGGCAGGGCCAAGGACTTAGTATAGGGGTCTCGGCGCTTGTCTTGCACACGACTGGTCCAGGTTCAACCCTTTTGCCATGTTACCTACCACAAGGTCCCAGGACTAAGACCTGAGCACTGCAGGGTGTGGCTCAAAACACCAAAAAACAAAGAAAAAAAAGAACACTAGCTTCTCCAGAGGGGAAAATAGGGCGAGTACATATCTCAGGTCCAGATGTGGAAGAAAACCCTGCCCCACGGAGCTCATTTTAACCAGATGTGGAGCTAGAAAGCAGCAATGCCAAGCTCAGGATCTGGAGCCTTCACGTGTCAGTGGGCTGGCCCTGTGGTGAACTCCCCAGTCCCTCCCATCCATCCACACACACACATGCACATGGAGTCCAAGCCTCAGACAAGAAGCAGTTTATTGAGGTGACACAGTTGTGGCTGTTGGGCCCCGGGGCTTCTGCTCTGCCCTTCTCCCATCCCTGCTGCTGTCCACTGAGGTTTTCAGCTGCACTGGATCTACTTTGCCAGCGTCCAGGTGTCAACAGGGCAGTTTGGGGGTGAGTTAGTCCTGAGACTAGGTTCCTTGTGCTGTCCAGGAGTGAGCTCTGGCTGAACACATGCTTGCAACCTAGGTTCCAGCCCCTGCACCACTTGGGCCCCAAGCCCCTGAGTACCACTGGAAGCAACCCAAAAAGTTATCCTTACTATTCCCCCTAAATTCCAGGAGTCCCATTGTTGCAATTCACAAAGTCAAGCCTGGTTTGGGGGCATGGCTGGGAGAGCTTTATTTTTGGTTGTGAGCCACACCCTGCTGTATAGTCAGGGCCTAGTCCTAGTTCTGCACTCAGGAACCACTCCCAGTGGGGCTCAGGGCACCATATGGGGGGCTGGGGATCAAACCTGGGTTGGCCCCATGCAAGGCAAATGTCCACCTGCCCAATGTACTATCGCACCAGCCCCAGGGTTCACTCCTTAACAGTTTGGGAGGCAGCAAGAATTTAGGTTTCCTTAAGAGTCCTAAGGTCCTGAGCCCAGCTAGGACATTTCCTGAGTGAGCTTCAAGGCCATCTCCAATCTCTATTTCTACCTATTCACTCCGTTCTCCCCCCTTTGTCCCCCCAACCACCTCCCAGGCCCTATTTCCTCTGCTTAGCAAACAGATACCCTCCCTTTGGTCTCCTGGCCTTCCACCCTCCCCGGCCCCCATCATTCCAGTCCCGTTGGTGGCTCCTCTTTGAGGGACCTTGCCTGATCATCTCCTATCCCAAAGGGCCTCAAGACCAGGTGCCCACGCTGGTGCTTGATTCGGGCCGAACTGTCCCCAAAACCCTTGCCACACTCCGCACACTTGTAGGGCTTCTCCCCTGTGTGTGTACGCCTGTGTTTGACTAAATCAGAGCTCCGTGGGAACTCCTTCCCACAGAAGCCACACACGTGCCGCTGGCTGGGTGCAGAGGGCTGGGCCTGGACTCGGGCTGGAGGGGCCACGGGGGCTGGGCCTGGGGGGTTATGTGGCCTCAGGAGAGTGGATGCTGGTGGTGACCGGGCCCGCTCACCACGGTGGGTGCGGAGGTGCTTGACCCGGGCCGAGCTGTCGGCAAACCCTTTGCCACACACAGGGCAAAGATAGGGCTTCTCCCCCGTGTGCACACGATGGTGCTTTACGAGGTCCGAGCTTCGGCGGAAGCCCTTGCCACAGTCAGGGCACTTGTGGGGCTTTTCAATGGCTAGTGGTGGAGGTGGCTCTCCAGCGCGTGGGCCCCCAGGCTCAGGCTCCAAGCCTGGCAGGCCAAAAGGCCCGTCACCTGAGTGTGAAGGGCTCCGAGGGGTCAGCGGGGGGCTGGTGCCAAGAGGAGGTGGGGGAGGACTTGAGCTGGGAGGCGGGCTAGGGATGAGGGGGGCCAGAGGGTAGCCTGGGAAGCTGAAGTCCTGGGGCTCCAGGTGCGTGAGGCGGTGGCGGAGAAGGGTAGAACTGAGGCTGAAGGTGCGGTCACATTCGGGGCAGGCGTGAGGCCTTTCCCCGCTGTGGGTGCGGAGGTGTTTGACCCGGGCTGAGCTGTCGGCAAAGCCCTTGCCACACTCGGGGCAGAGGTAGGGCTTCTCCCCCGTGTGCACCCGGAGGTGCTTCACCAGATCTGAACCCCGCGCGAACTCCTTTCCACACACATCGCAGCCAAATGGTTTGGGCCCCAGGTGACTGCGCTGGTGGGTCAGAAGGCTGCAGCTGAGGACGAACCTCTTGCCACAGTCAGTGCAGACATAGGGCTTGTCCTGGCCTTTGGGTCCCTGAGTGGCGACTGAGGCTGTTTGAGAAGGCTGCCGGCGGGGCACCACTGGCCGGGGGGCCTGCTCCCCCCGGTGCGTCCGCTGGTGCTTTATGCGGGCAGAGCTGTCCCCGAAGCCTTTGCCACAAATGCCACACTTATAGGGCTTCTCGCCTGTGTGTGTGCGCTGGTGCTTCACCAGGTCAGAACTCTGCCGGAAGCTCTTGCCACACTCACCGCAGATAGTGGGGCGCTCACCAGCAGGAATTCTGGACCGAGGAATCTTGGGGGGGCCCTGGGCTGATGGCCGGGCTCTATAGGGCTTCTCACCGCTGTGAGTCCGCTGGTGTTTGATACGAGCAGAGCTATCCCCAAAGCCTTTCCCGCAGACGCCACACTTGTAGGGCTTCTCCCCTGTGTGGGTGCGCTGGTGTTTCACCAGATCAGACATCTGCCGAAAACTCTTGCCGCACTCACCACACACAGCAGCCCGATCACTAGCCTGGCCCCAGCGGGGTTCCCCCAGGAGCCGGGGACCTCGATCCCGAGGCTTTCCTAGTCCCTCTCTGTGCACCCACAGATCATCCCAGGTCTGGAAGCCGTCGGGTTTGAGAGAGGCATTTCCTACTTCGTGGCCTGGGGCCAGGTCTTCCTCCTCCTTGAACCTCAAGTCATCCTCCTGTGGGGTATGTTCGAACTCCTCAGGCTCGGAAAGCGCCACAGTCTCGCTCCCTAGACCTGGGGAAAGAGAAGGGAGTTGTAGACCCTGTGTCTGACAGTGCGGCCCGAGGCTTCCGTCACCACCCTGCTTCCAAGAACTTCTGGAGCACTTACTATTGTCTCTGCCTCTCATTTACAGTTATTCCCCTAAGCTCTCCGGACCAGATGGCCAACAAGTGCCAAAGTTGCATCTTATTTTGAATTTTTATTTTATTTTATTGTTTTGGGGCCACACCCAGTAGTGCTGAGGAGTTATTCCTGGCTCTGTATTCAGGAATCATTTCCTGGTAGGCTCAAGGGCCTTAATGAATGCAGAGGATCCATGTCAGTTAGCTATTTGCAAGGCAGGAGCCTTACCTAATGCACTATCTCTCCAGCCCCTTATTTTTAATTTTTAAAAATCACTGAATGGAGTGATAGTACAGCGGGTAGGACACTTGCCTTGCACACGGCTGACCTGGGTTTGATTCTTAGCATCCCATTTGATCTCTAAGCACCATTAGGAACTAATTCCTGAGCGCAGAGCCAGGAGCAACCCCTTAGCATCACCAGGTGCGGCCCAAAATAAAAATAAAAAGATAAAAGTTAATAAATGCATGACAGCCCAATTCACTTTGCTCCTCAAAGTAGGGACTGTCTCTGACCTTCCTCTTTGATCCCCCTGAAAGCAGGAACTAAATCTCTGTGAAAGGTACCTCTAACAGACACCCTTATCAGCAGAGACAGGACAAACTAGCTCTGCTTAGCTCACTCAATTAGATGTCCAAACCAAAGCTTTCAAGAATGGCTTTGTGCTGTCTGTTCTTCACAGATTAATTGCTTCTTTGTCTAAAAGCTACTTAAACTGTTTGGCCATTCACTAGGTGACCTATATTTTATGAAATTAAATGTCTTTTTTCCCCTTCTTAATCTCTTGCGTCAATTTATTATTTTGTTGCCCAAAGGAACCAAAGAAGATGAGGGAGAGATCCCACCTGCCTTGCTTTTCCTCTGTGCAGCAAGAGAGTCCTGGCAAGCAAACCTAAGATTATTATCAGCCAATTCCTGTTTCACAGACACTGTCACTTTTTCAAGATTAGAAAGGTCAGAAAGTAGCAGAGGAGTTTATAACTTCTGTCCCTCTGACTCCTGAGCCTGTGTTGTGACTACAGTGTAAGAGCTTTCATTTGAAAAAGCAGGCATTTGCTGATTCTATTGTCGCTGGAATGGAGTGCTGCTTCAGTCGTTTGATCTTGCACAGATTCTAAGAATGAATTCCAAATAACTGCTGTCACAGAGCTGGGGAATCATTGTCTGTATGGGGACAGGTTCTCCCAGCGAAGGAAGGAGAAAACCACGGGGAGGAATGGAGTCTAACGCCGGGCAAGGCATCTCGGGACTAGATGCAGCATGTAAGGTCTGGACCGAACACCAGGCTGGGGCTCTGCACTGAGCTGGGTTAGATTTCTGAGAGGGAAGACCGGATTAGATCAGCCCGGCTGCAGAGGGCATCGGCTGAGAGACAAGGGCAGCGGGGAGGCCGCTGTTTCTACCGAGGAGAGGCAAGGGCTGGAGTCAGGCAGCGCCGGGGCGGGAGGCGATGGCCGCGGGGAGGGGCGGCAGTCCTTGAAATGATGCCCCTTCCCGGCCGAGCGCACGGAGACACGGGCTCTGCGGGTGTGGACCCCCACCGCCACCCCCGCCTCGCCGAAGCACAGTTCCCGCCCGGTCGTTCGGGGGCTCGGCCAGGTAGCGCCCGAGCCCGGACCTCCCACCCGCCGGGTACCTGCCGCCGACCGCGCCTCGCCCGCTCTCACCTGCGCGGGCGCCCCGCAGCTGCTCCCTCCGCTCCGGACGTTGGAGCTCCGCGCCCCAAGGCTCCGCCGCGCGCTCCATCGCCGCCCTGGGCGCGGGGACCGACTCCAGCCCACGGTCGCACAGCCCGGGGCCGCTGCCCTCTGCCGGCCGGCGTGCGGGTCCGAGGCGGCACGCGGTGCCCGAGGAGCCCGGCCGCGTCGCCGGCCGCCCTGCACCTGCCGGCCCCTCGGCCCGCGCGGCCGCACCCGGAGCTCGAAGTCGGGCTCAGGTGCCGGAGTCGCGGGCTGCCGGGGGCTGCGGGCTCGGCGCCAAGCAGGGAGGGGGTCGGGGCCGCCGGGGGCGGGACGGGAAGCGGAAGCGCGGCCGCCCCGAGTCGCTCTAGGACCGCGGAGGAGCCGCGCGCCCGCGGGGGCCGCCGGTCGGCCGGAGCGCGGGGCCGGCGCGCGGGGCCAGGGTCGCTCGGCGCCGGGGCCGGGGTCCGAACGCGCTGCTCTCCGCCGCCAGGCAACGTCCTCGCCGCCGGGCCGGGCCGCCGGGCCGCCACCCCGGCCGCGGGAGACAAAGAGCGCGTCGCGGACGGGCCCCGGGAAAGGGTGGGGGTGGGGGGAGACCGAAGCAGACAAAGGGCGGCGGAGACCCCAGACGGGGCGGGGCGGGGCGGCGAGACGCAGGAAACAAAGCGGGGCAGGTCCGAGGCCCGAGGCCCGGGTGGGTGCGGGCGCCTGCGAGCGCGGGACGCCCCGTAGGTGCTGAGTGGCGACTTGCCAAAGGGGATCAGGGCCGGGCCCCGGCTCACAGACTCACAATCCTCAGCTAAGACCGAGAGACAGCGGCAGGCCAGGACCACGGGAGCCAAAGACTGGCCGCTGGAGACAAAGAGATGTAGGAACAGATAAGAGGGAAAAAATCATTGGCGGCAAATCACATGAGCGCTAAGAAAAGGCAGGGAGATTGGCGAGAAACCGGTCCCGATGCGGAGAAACAAAAGACAATGAGAGGCAGACACAAAAAAGGAGGCCGTGGGAGAGGAGGGACAGGTCCAGAGCCCGCCGAAGGGGCAGGGAAGGCCTGGAGGGTTCAGCTCAGTTTGGCTGGGCCCCTCGCAGGCCGGCAGACGCCCTGCGAGAGCTCCAGGCAAGCCTGCAAATGGCAGCGGCCGATCTGCTGATGGAGGGAAAAGTATATTCACTCGCATTCCTTAGCTCCGAAGAGCCAGGAATTTGGAATAGAGTTGAAACCTGTGTGAGACTGTCCTTGAGGTCACAGGGCTTTGTGGGAGAGCTGAGGTATTCTAAGCTGTGGGGGTGTTTCTGGGTGCTTGGCATGATGACAAAACAGGGATCACAAATCAATAAGTGCTTAGAGGTCATCAGCCAGTCTAGGCCTTGAAGAGGCTAAGAAGCTCATCAGGGAGCTCTGGGCTCAGTAGAATCAGAAGATGGGTGAGGTACAGGTTCTGCCCTAACCGATTAACAAGCTGTGGTAGGGTGTGAGGCTACCAGAGGAATCAGTCTCTGAAGATTTTAGTATCTAAGGGCTGTCAGGGCATTCATGCAGAATCCAACTGAGGCAGGCAGATAAATAGGAGAGGGTCTATGGCAATGGAGTTTCTGAGAAGTAATAAATCCAGTAACACTGAAGCTGTAAGAATTTAAGGCCTAGGCCTGATAAGATCTTCCTGGCGCCAGTGACAGACCCTGTGGAGGCTGGACCCCACAGAGACACGAACTTTAGCAGAGACAGAGACTGCAATTAAGGATCTGAAGGAGATTTATGACACCTGAATGACCCCCATCTCTGCCAGAGAAATTCCAGACCAAGGCAGCCCCCCTTGGCAATCACCCTAGCAACAAACTCTTACCTAGCTAGACAGTCCCACATGAGGGCAGGTTGGAGAAACCCTATAAAAGCCACCTTGAACAAAGGAAAGGCATGCATATACTGCCTAAACTCATGTGCTGCTTGTGCCCACATGGCCCAGCACATACAGTGTCTGAACATACGTATCACCTGCATCTCCCCTCTTGAGATGTGTACTGTGACTCTCTCCACCTTTGGAGATGCCTGCCTTCTTCATTGAGCGTGTTACTCTCTCACTTTCTCTCCCTCTTACCCCTTCCTAAAAAACCTCCAAATAAAATCTGTGTTTACTTCACTGCTTATCTACTCCTGAAATTCCTTTTTGTGAGGAAAACAAGAGCCTATAAACCCTGGGTAAGGCCTAGGACTGATTCTCCTTTCCTGCAAAGAGCCAATCCTCGCTCCAGCCTGAGTCTGGCTCCCCCCAAGAGAAATCTTGGGGCTGGAGCAATAGCACAGCGGGTAGGGCGTTTGCCTTGCACACGGCAGACCCAAGTTCGATTCCCAGCATCCCGTATGGTCCCCCGAGCACCGCCAGGGGTGATTCCTGAATGCAAAGCCAGGAGTAACCCCTGAGCATCGCCGGGTGTGACCCAAAAAGCAAAAAAAAAAAAAAAAAGAAATCTTGGGTGGGGATTAACTCCCTTGCTGAGAAGACCAAATAGACCTTAGGTGTGACATTAGGTGTCAAGGTCACCTGATGGAACTGGCGGGACTCTGGCAGACTTTACCAGTCCTGGTCTTCCCAGCTGGTCCCAGGGTGGCAGAGGCGGATTGGGAGAAAGGACCGTCTCGTCTTCACCTCACATACGCCACCATGGGGGCCCACTTACTTCAGGATTCTAATTCTACCTGTTCTGTTTTGATCTTGGGGAAATTATTTCTCTCTGGTGAGAAAGATAGTACAGGGATTAAGGCACTTGAACTGCATACAGCTACCTGGCATCATCCCCCAGTACCACTGTCTTGAGCATCACCACAAGTGATTCGTGAGTACAGAGCCAGGAACACTGCTGGGTGTGGGCCAAAAGAGTTTTACTGGATATTTTTTGCTAAATACTTAGTACATATTAATCCTTGTTGCCACAGGGAGCTTAGGTTTATTGGGTTACTTCCATCACAGTGCTCCCATTCTTGTGTTTATTTGTAATTTCTTTCTTTGTGCTCAGCTTCCCCAAACTGTCAATAACCTTTTCCTCCTGATCAGACTCTGTTGACTTGTCACTGTCACTGTTCTCCTATTGTTCGTTGATTTGCTCGAGCAGGCCCAGTAACGTCTCCATTGTGACCATTGTTACTGTTTTTGGCATATCGAATATGACACGGGGAGCTTGCCAGGCTCTGCCCCGCGAGCGAGATACTCCCGGTAGCTTGCCGGGCTCTCTGAGGGGGGCGGAGGAATCGAACTAGGGTCGGCCATGTTGGCCGCTTGCAAGGCAAACACCCTACCCGCTGTGCTCCAGCCCTAGTTGTTGACTTGTAAATATTGTTTTTTCTCTTCTCAAGTCCTTTGCATAGTTAGTTCAGAGCAAAGTCTTTTTTGTATGGACACAGATAGATAGTTAATGCTATGCTTTTGTAATTTGGGAGTTAATTTACTTTGAATGATATTTACCTCCTGGACATCTGTTCTTTTAACTTAAGCCTCAGTTGCCCTTACTTCTTGGCACCCCAAAAGCAGGGTCCCAATGAGGGACTGGATGGACCCAGGGCAAGCGGCGAGCTGCTCTGGCATCGAAATGGGCCTGGCCAAGGCGCCATAAGTTAAAAGGATGGTCATGGACAAATTCTGTCATGATCCAAAAAAATAATAACTAGATTCGGACCCTGCTAGGGTTAGGAAAGATTAATCTGGCCTGAGCACTGTAGTTTGAGATCTATAGAAAGATGTCCCCACGAGAGCCACCCTATAAACTCAATGTTTCTCTTACTGTCCATACAAAATAACTAATATTAAGAAGTGGAATTAAGATGTTAATTAAATTTTTGGATTAAGGAGAGCAGAAACACCCCTAAATGGTATTTTCCACCCTTGAGCCTAATTGGCAATCAGGAAAGGCTTTTGATATGTTGATGTGCTACCCCCAATGCTAGGAAGTTGGAGAGAGAGAGAGAGGGAGACCAGGGCAGCAAGATGGAGCCCGGAGAGACTAGCAAGGGGGACAGAGGGAGAAGAATGTAGGGGAAGAAGGCAGGAGCAGGCGTATGGAGAGACGCAGCTGCAACTGCGAGAGGGAGCATGGAGAGATGAGTGGGAGAGACAGGAGGAGATGGGATTGAGGGGCAGTGTGAGACTGGAATGGGGAGTTGAGTGAGACTGGAACAGGCAACTGTGGAGAATGGAAGGAACGGCGATAGATCATCAATCTACCAGCCTCGTTTCCTCCTTCGTCCGCCACCCATGGCATCGGTCTTCCCAGGCTTCGAGCAGCCCGAGCCCACCGAGCCCACCGAACTTGGGCAGGCGGGGAGGGGGATGCGGGAGGGAGGGAGAGAGAGAGAGACCCGCAGGGCGCAGGGGGCTCTCCCTCGGGGCCCTCTCCCCTTGTGTATTCTCCCTCTTGTGTATTCTGCCTAGAGAATACACAAATCCTCAAACATTTAAATTAGGTATTATCATGCCCGCTGGGGAGGAGGGGTTGGAATTTATACACCTGTGTTCAAGATTTATTCCTGGCTCTGCTCTGATGAAGCTTGGGTGACCATATGGGGTGCCGAGGATCAAACCCAGGTTGGTTGCATGCAAATATCTCTGGCCCCTCAATTATCGCTCTTGTTTTGGGGTCACTTCTGGCGGTGCTCAAGCTACTACTGCTTTGTGTTCAGGGGTCCATGTGGGATCGAACCTGGGCCTTTTGCATGTGAAGCATGCACTCAGCCTATTGAGCTATCTTTCCAGTTCTTCAGTTAGAACTCTCTTGGTTAGAGCTACCAAGAACAAAGATAACATTTTTAAACCTATCCTTTTAGGGCAGGTAAGATTTCAGCAAAATTCAGAGTCAGACTGCAGTAGGAACTGAATGAACTTCAGGAAAGGGATAAAATAAGCTTAAGGGGCCAGAGTGATAAAGGGCATTTGCCTTGCACATTGCCAACTGGAGTCAAGTTTGATTCCTGGCACCATAATGTGGTCGCTCAGGGAATGATCCCTGAGCACAGAGCCAAGGAGTCGGTCCTGAGCATCGCCGGTTGTGGCCCCAAAACAAAAACAAATAAATTAGCTTGAGATCCAAATATGATCTAAGACCTAGGTTCAGCTGATCTAGTGTTGCTTTGAACGATGCCAGGAATGATCCTTGAGCACAGAGCCAAAGTCAGCCCTGAGCACCACCAGGTATAGCAACAAAACAAAAATATAATAATAAAATAGTAGTTTTATTTTTTGTGTGCGTTTTGGGGCCACACCTAGTGGTGCTCAGGGATCCTTCCTGGCTGGGCAGTGATTAGAAGATTGAATGTGGTGCTAGCATCAGCCATATGCAAGGCACCTTACCTGCTGTACTGTATCTCTGACCCAATGGTCCCAGTTTTATTTACTGTTGTGAGGGCCACCAGGGCCGTAGCCAGGGAACAGGGCAGACCCAGGGTCTTGCTCATGAAAGGTTTATGTTCTATCACTGGAGCTATAACCCCAGCCCTGAGAATAGTTTTTTTGTTTTGTGTTTGTTCATTTGTTGTGGGGGACACACACACCTGGCAGTGCTCAGGAGCTATTTTTGGTTTGTTGCTTGGGGTGCACCCCAGTG